GTTTAGTTTTTCTCCTCCAAATATGCTTTTGCCTTAGACGTCCCATCTCACCAAACATCTAGTTTCTCAGGCCAAAAATGGAGGAGTCATCTTTTATTACCCAGTTTTCCTCATCACTTACCACCCCCACCATCCTTAACTATATCCAAGCAAGTACTATCAACTTTACCTCTGAAATATATCTGGATTCCAATCACTCTCTTCCCCTTCACCACTACTGTCTTTGTCCACACCTCCACCTTCCTTGTCCTGGACTACTGAAGCAGTCTGTTAGCGGGTCCCTCTGATTTCAATTTGCCCCAAGCATACCCCTCTGATCCCAGTCCACTTTCCAGGTAGCGGATGGATGATGTTCTAAAAATATAAATTATATATCATTCCCTGACCCCTTCAGTGCTTCCAACTGCAAGTAGAATAAAATATGAACTCTATATGATCTGGCTTTTGGTTATCTTGCTGAATCATAGCCGACCACTTCCTCCTTATTCATTATATCCCTGCTACACTGGCATTCTTTCTGTCCCTCAAGCATGCCAGGTTCATTCCCATCTTACTACTACCTCTGCCAATAACCCCTTTCTCTTGGCTCTCTGCTCCTCAACATTCTTTTCTCAGCCTAAATGTTCACTTCTAAGAGAACCTTCCCTGGTCAACCAAAAGAAACCAGCACAGCCCTGCCATCGTCTTTCCTGTTAACCAGATTTTTAAAAATATCACTTGTTTTGTCTAAACTCATCTTTTTGATTTGTTTGCTGGCTGTCTCTACCTGTCAAATGTTATTTTCATGAGGGTAGGAACTTTACCTGTCTCATTCACCTCTGGGTCTTTAGTGCCTAGAGTAATACCTGTCATGAAGTAAGTGTGCAATAAAAGTGTGCTGAGGGAATGAATGACAAAATGGCAAAATGAACAAATATAGAAAACTTGTAAAACATAGATCATTAAAAAACATTGTTAACCTCATTATCTGGAGGTAGCTACTGATTATACATTTTTAGTTCTGTTCTTTCAACCCTTCCCTTCTCTCTCTTTCTCTCTCCCCGCCTCCCTCTCATATGGACACACAATGTTATATAACATATATATGTAACTATATATGTAAATGTGAAAAAATAAGATCACAGAAATCAAACTTGCCTTTCTAAATTTGAGAATATATTGAGATCTTCCCATGTCAGAACACGTTGGAATTTTTTAAGAGCTTTTAAACTTTAAAATGGCTGCAGGGTGGGGAGAGAGGTAAGCCAACAAGAAGCAAGCTGATTCCTGTTTCAGATAGGTTCAGGAATCAAAGACAAACCTTATCTCTGAAGGCAAGGACGCAGGGAGGGGTTTAATGACAGGAGGATGGACTCAAAGTCTTTACAAGAAGCATATAGAAGCCCAGTTCCCCTTCTCTCCTGTACAGTTAAGTCACTACTTCTCAACCTCAGCAGAAAACTAGGAATGCGCCCAGAAAGTACTGAGGACAAATCACAGCTGAGGGCACAGTGAAGCACGTGTAGAAAACTCTACATGCTCAATGGTGCAAGTGCTGGTCATTTTCCCACTATTCTGAGAATGATAGCCACCCAACCCTCTGACTTTTAGGCAAGAAATAGGAAAATTCTGCTTCAGGAAAACTGACTAGCCCAAGAGAAAAGACTTATATTAGCAATTTAGAGCCTTCCAAAGCAACAACCAGATTCACCTTCTTAACCTGTGGTGAGGCCCAATAGATGAGCCCAATCAACATATGTGGAACTTCCAAACTAGAATTTTTTATTTCATGTCTCACTCTGAAATGTAAATGAATGATCATTAAGCAGCCAAGAAAAGCCAAATTGTAAAAGATAATCTGAAACATATACATAAACAACCAAAAAGGTACATAGATGGAACCAGAAATAAACTTCAAAAACTTGTTAACATTTTATGGGAAGTGAGAGAAAATTTTGCTACTACAAAATAAAACAGGTTGATAATTTTCCAAAAAAGAGGAATAATTAGGAAATAAGAAAAAGCTTTTAGAATTGAATATATGATAGAAGAACAATGTTTAGATTCAACAAAAAGAATGAAAGATTAATATTGAGAAAATCATTGCAAAGAAAGCATAAAAACACAAAGAGATGAACAGTGGACAGGAAAGTAAAACAAAAGAAAAAGAGATAGAAAAATGGAGAGAAAAGGTCAGAAAATTAGAAAAAGTAACTAATAAGGTCCAACCTATGACTGACAGGAGTTACAGAAGGAGATAAAAAAATAAGTGAAGTGCTATGAGTGGATAAAAACCAGCATGATGACACATCATAAATTTAAAAACATAAAAATAAAGAGAAAGATACTAAAATCTTTCAGAGACGAAGAAATGAGTTACAAGCAAAGGATTGGAAATCAGAATGGCATCCGGCTTCTCAAGAGCAATATGGAATCTAGAAGGAAAGTCTTCAAAATCCTGAGATAACTTATACCTTCCAATTCTGAGAGCAGTTATTTCCAACCAGAATTCTAAACAAGTGAAAAACGAGTCAAAAATTAAGTCCAAGAAAAACAAACAAAAAATGTAAGAGAAAATAAATGAAATCATTATTATGAGACTCAGCTGAGAACTATACTTACATGGACATAATAATATAAAATATGAATATTGATATAACCAAAAATAGTGACATGACATCACTGAGAAATTGGGGAGAAGTATCTGAATGTGTGCATGCATGCCTGTACATGTGTGAGTGTGTGTGTACCTGCGTGTGTAAGGGTGAATGGTAAGAGTTTAATATAAAATTAAAAACTCAAGGGAAAAAAAGACACGTTACTTTGAAGGATAAAGGTAAATAGAAGAAACGACTAAACCGATTTTCCATGGTTGCTTCAGGATCCCAGGCACAAAGAGGGAAGAGAGAATGGGCAGGGCCTGCTCTTTTCATGATAAGCTTTTTGGTTTACGTGACTTTAACTCAGCTTGTGTATCATTTTGACTTGTTTTTTAAAAGGACACAAAGACTTAGAGGGAAATATTTTCAATGTGTCTGGAAACGAGTTCGTAGGCATTACGTTCAAAAAACAAGCCTACTAATGTGTTTGCACTTACAATGCTGTCCTAGAAAGGCTTTCGCAATATTTTGAAAGTGAGAATGGCTGCAAACTGTAGCAAAAGTTCAGTTTTGTCTATTGTAGAGACACACTTTTTATTTGGAAGCATAGTAAGGGAATGACAAATGGTACATATTATTTTAAATACTTGACTATCGAATCTTTTTAGTAGCATCTATTAATATCTGGAACATGAATACTTTTGGAACATTTCATATGCATCCCTCTGAAGAAAATCTGACCTCTTGTCTTGTACTAGGAACATGAGGTCATAATTCTATACAATGACTTTTTTCTTTCTTTTTCTCAAAAGCCTTAAAGGTATTTGTAGAGCTCAAAAGAAGAAAGCGTTCCTATCAGTTAAGTCCTGCCAATGAGAAAGCCGTGTTTGGCACAGAACAGAATCTAGGCCTTCTGAAGCTTCACCGAAGATTCTCATTTTGTCTGTTTTTCCAAACTTCGTTCAGTGTAAAGGGTGTTCCAGGGGAAAGTTCTGTGTTTTAGCATGTAGTTGTCCACACTTTGTCTGCCAGTCCTAACTCATGCCCTGTTGACTCACTCACCCCCAGGCTGAAAGAAGGACTGGGCTGCTGTTACCAAAACAAACATGGGGCCCAAACAGTGCTTTCTCGCCCACAACCTGCCTAAAAGAAAGACCACAGAAACAGGGAGGCTGTGTCTAGCCTCCTCCCGTTCCTTACTTATTTCCAAGAGCAGCCTTAGGGTCATACAGCTGTAAATTCTGAAGACTTTTCCTACCTCTTCTTCAGAAAACACTGTCATGTAAAAGAAAGTGAACAACTAGGCATGTTTTATATGTCAGCTGACTGATTAGACTGGTGAAGGCTGGAAGCCGCACTCTGTTGAAAATGGCTTTCCTTTAACAACTCAGCTTTAACATGGTCCAAGGACAGCATGACGAAGACAACTCATCCAGTGACTTGCCAACCCCACTGGGACAGTGTGGCTATGCATTAGCCAGTTGGAGCTGGAAGCTTACTGTTAATCTGCTTGGCCAGGAAGTGCAGACGTGGCATTCTACACTGAGGAACTTCAAGGTGGCATTTTTTTTTTAAAGGTATAATTTCCCTTGAGGTGCTGGGTATTTGCAGTGTGTGAGAACAGAAAAAGGCAAACATGATTTGGTAATGTTTCTGAATATTGAATTTACTCTTTAAAGACATAAGTTGGGGAATGGGGAGTGTGTTCACTCGGTCCCTAAATTCCTGATACTGAAATAAGAGCTGCCCCTGTGTTTCTGAGCGTATAGAAGGAAATCTGGGGAGGCCAGGATAGGAGTGTGTGCAGTGGGGACGGAAGGCCTGACTTTCTTCAACAGTCCCAGGGCTCCTCCAGGGTGCCAGGCTGTGTGCATGTCCTGACCCCACAGCCAGGCTGCCCGGTGGGGCTGTGCAGCTGCGCCTGCACAAGGGCACCCAGCACAGGGTGCTCCCCGAAGAAGGCTCCATTAATTCTTTTCCTAAGTTATAACAGCCCCACTGGGAAGATCTCTCCAGAATGAGGACCAGGAGGCATCCTGCATGGCTAATGTGCTGTTCAGAGACAAAGGAATTTGTATTTGTTTGGGGTTGATGAGGAATTCATTTCATAATGTTGAAGTCAACTTCTGTCACCTCAACATCTTCAGAAGAGATTATTCCAATGGTAAATTCCATCAGCATAAAGTTAGCCATAGTAAATGCCAGCTTCCTATGCATACTTCAGTTCATCTATCTTCAACATCTGCACAGAAACTAGTTTTCTTTTCCTTGAAGAAAGAGTTAGGCATTGAGGTGTTGCTTGATTAGGAATTGGGTGGGATAGCATTTGGAAACACAAATTTCACTGAAGCATTTCAAATGAAGACTATCCACTGAGTAACCAGAATAAAAAGCATAGAACAAAGAAACAGGATTCAAATATGGAAATTCCTAGGAATTCAAAGTCCCATGCAGCAATTCACTTTTAATAATAAAATTCAGTTTCTATTTCAAATCTAGTGTTTCCTCTTAAAAGCAACTTATTCAAAAACCGGTGATAGTAACAGGTTAATTACTGTGAATCTTCATGCTGGGAGAACTGGCTGGGCAAACCATTACACAACCATCTATTATAATTATTTTATGATTCATTATCATGAAGACAATCTTATGCCATTTAAATCAACAGGTTCCAATTCTTCACCAGAGAACTGTCTTTAAACACACACACTCTTCTTAGTCTTCCTTTATTTCTGCAGCTGAGGAGAGTAAGTTGTTGAGATTAACCATAAAGCACAGACTAGTACGAGTGGAACACCATGAATGTGACAGGCTTGGCACCTTTTTTTATTTCCCACACCTGAGGTGTGTTAGTCTCCCTCTGCCACACCCAGATACTTACCAGAATTGCAAAACCCAGGAACAAAGGATGGTGTGCATGAGAAGGCAAGCCCATCTCAGGGAAGAATTATCTCAAAAATCAAAGGGCTCTGACCACCCACTGGTGGGTCCCAAGCCCAGTCTGTCTTCAGGAATTTTAAAACCTGAAAACACTCTACAGAGATAAGACAAAGCAATCTATTGACCCCAAAGACCCATGTTTAACAGTCCATTGCAGAAATACCTATTGCAGAAAGAACAAAGAAAAGAGTTCAAAAGAAGTAGCTGGCATTGAACCTCTTCATCCCAACTTCCCTAAGCTCTGCTCTTGGCCAGCGGAGGCATTGGCAGGACTTCCCACTACATTCTTGTTGCATAATTTTATGAAATGTCCTGGCCCTGGCTGGGTGGCCCAGTTGGTTGGAGTGTCATCCTGTACAGTAAAGGCAGGGGGTTTGATTCCCAGTCAGGGCACGTACCTCGGTTGCAGGTTTGGGTAATCTTCCCTCATATCTGCTCTGTTTCATGAGACTGATGTGCTAAGAAGGCAGCTTGTCTGCTCTATTTTATTTGAAGATTTATGGGGGTAGGTAGAGGTGGAGGGTTAAATAATTAACCTGTGCCGAAACCGGTTTGGCTCAGTGGATAGAGCATCGGCCTGCGGACTGAAAGGTCCCAGGTTCGATTCCAGTCAAGGGCATGTACCTGGGTTGCGGGCACATCCCCAGTGGGAGATGTGCAGGAGGCAGCTGATCGATGTTTCTCTCTCATCGATGTTTCTAACTCTCTCTCTCCCTTCCTCTCTGTAAAAAATCAATAAAATATATATTAAAAAAATAATAATTAACCTGTGATTTTAAACACTTTTATGTTAAAACAAGCATGGCCATATTTCAAATTAAACATTTATATATCTGATTTACAATAAAATGTGGGGGCTGTGCATTCCCATTTCTCTGCTTAGAGTAGCTGGGTGAACATGACACATGATGCATAGAAGTGAAAAGGAACCCTTCTTCCATGAAGTTGTATTTCTGATCAGGAATATTCTATAGTATAACAAGAACCAAAAGGATAAAATATGATGTATGTATATCTACATACTCTGCTTCATCTATGTGAATATCATGTTTGCCACGTTGTTTACTATAATACATATTTCAAAATATCCTATAAACAACAATAAACACAACATTCTGTATAGTATATGGATGATTCTAATGTCTGAAAAAGTTGTACTTCGGTAAGGACCAGTAACCTATAATCAGAAAAGCAGCACATAGAAGACTAACAGTGAGTGCTTCGGGATGAATGCTGCTGGGTGTTCACTCTCCAGCAGGTCATCAAACCAAGGCCAGACACTCCAATTTTAATCACACACCTGGGAGTATTCAAAAAGTGACTTATACCTCTAATGCTTATGATGTAATTACTCATAGGGTCCAATCACAGAAAAGTGTTCCAAAAGAAGATAGTCTAATTGTAAAATCTCAAAACGATGGGAACTGTTTTCAAATGCTGTGCAATGAGATACATAGATCCTATGGTTTTTAACCTTACCCCTGCCCCCTTTTTTCTTTTCCATTTTCTTCAGCTGCTTTTCTTATTCCCATTCTCTCTGTAGAACCAGTCCCTACCCAGGCCTATTCCTTCACACTACAGGCCCTCCACCTTCACCTTTACTCCATTAAACAACGTTGGTTGAGACCCAAATATGCTCTTTTCAGGTCTGCCTAGAAATAAGTCAAAGTAAGTCAATTCAGCATTCGTGTATGTTATATTAATAGAACTGACTTTCAGCAGGAGCTTGTAGCAAACATCAACCTAATTAAGTTATTATGACTATACTCTTCCATTGTTTTCATTTCCTTACAAAAGGAAAGCCTATCAAACTTCATTGTTAGTCCAGAAGTATATGGTTTTGAAGCTAAAAATAATTACACTCCATGGATACCATGTGTGACAACTGAAAGACCTTGACATACTACTTCTTTGTTATATTCAACAGTAAATGGCACTTAGCATATCTGACTACTTGTAGTATGAGCATGAGATAATTGCTTGGGAACCTAGAACTGCTTATTTAAAGGGTGGGGACTCTTAATATAATTACAGAGCCCAAAACCACCTCCGCTTTACCATGGGAAATATCATAGAATGCACTGTTCATCTTAGATGGCTTCCCAGTCAAATTCTTCATTACTCTTCAGAATCCGCTGGAATTCTCTTGCTGTTTAGGACACAAGGGTACCTGTCCTGGTGAATGGGAACCAAGGAACAGAGGATCTCTGCACTTGAATGAGGCTGAAAGGAGCAGAACACCTTAGCCAAAGTAATGACAGCGTGTCTTTGTCTTTCATCACATCAGCTCAATGGTCCCAGGAAGCTGTATTTTTCCTAAATGTGCATTATTTGAATGCAGCATGTTATTTATTGAAGGGGGGGGGGGAGGGGAAGTTGTGTGGGAAAAAATTAAAAAACAAGAGCACATGTCTTAGAGAACCTTGTATCTGAAAGTCCTTTTCATGTACCATGGGAGACCCAGTTTCTTAATCTTTAGGTATCCATTATCTTCTTGAATTAGCTGTGCTATTATTTTAGAAGATGACTTTTTTTAACACTGTTGGTTACCACTGCAAATCCCCCAGCAGTCTGGGCTTTTTTTTTTTTGGTGTAAATAACCCAGACCACATTCTTCTAAATTTGTGGAGACATTCACCTGATATTTTGAGAAGCATAGAAGAAAAATTAGCTGTCAAGGACCAAATGGCTAACAGCACTAAGAAGAAATACTTTCCTTCTCCCACCATGCCATTCTACAACCTTTCTTTACATTATACACCATAGCAGAATTAACAATCCGTGGTGTAAAATAAACCACCAAACGGGAAGATGAACAGGATCAAAAAGGAAAAGAGACTGCTTGCTGTCCCACCACCTGAATGAAGAAGACCCCATCTCAAGGAAGAAGCAACTTTTCATTTTATCAAATACTAGAGGCCTGATGCACGAAATTCGTGCAAGGGTAGGCCTTCCTTCCTTCGGCTGCTGGCACTGGCTTCCCCCTGGCATCCGGGAACCGGGCTTCCCTCGAATCCCTGGCTTCATCCGTAAGGTCGTCTGGAAGGACGTTGGTCTAATTAGCATATTATGCTTTTATTATTATAGATTCTTACTACCTCAACTCAAAGCATTTTTTAATAATTCCCTTCCCCAGATTTGAAGAAAAATGTTTTAAAAAACTGCAAACTAGAAACAAGATTAGAATATCTGGTTTATTGGGAAAAATTCATAATAAAAACTGTAATTGCTTATCCTGCAATTTACAAAATAATAATTCGATATATCAAATGAATTGGTTTTTGTTATGTAAATACAAATGGTAAAAAAAATAATAACCCATGTGATATATCATATATTTCCCATTCAGAGATCTCATATCCCTGAATTCTCCTGTTGCATGCTTTATACCAGATATTTTAAATCAGCTTACCAAAGAAGACCAGGTTTTTTACTATATTTAAGTTTTTACTTACAGTTACAATCTATCAGAAGCTGTATCTATATGAGTAGAGCCTGCTCAACTGAGATGAGAAATTCAAGTCATTTCTTCTCCCAAGGTTGTTTTAATGTTTCTTTTGTGATAGGAATGGCCTTCCTAATGCTTTGCTGCACAACCTGATCATGCCTGTCAGTCACAGTGATTTAGACCCAGCCCATCTTTCAAAGCAATCTACTCTGATCTTTAACATATAGACACAAAACAGAACAGATTAACATATCATTTTCCCACACCCCACCCCTACAAACCATTTTTAAAGAGAAAATTTCATCTTAGCCTTTCCTTGCATAGAAGACCTTACTACTGCAACAGGTTTTGGTCATGAAAGAATACTTTCCTAAATGACATATCAAGTTAATGTGAAGCTTAGCAAAAGATCTATTACTCAGGATGTGAATTAGAAATTCTCACAAATGATATGCATTTAGGAAACTCTTTTGCCTTCCTTAACTAGCCAAAGGCTGGAAAAATATTTATTTTTTTACATTTCTTTTAGAATATTTGGTCCCTGACAATTTTTTACCAATATTTCCCTCTTCTTTTCCCTTAATAGATCTAGTTTAATCCGGGACGGACAGACACTTGATCAGATTACTTAAATCTTTTAAATCTTCTTATTTTTACCTTATAAAATGGTAAGTTTCATATTCATATTCTCTTACAAATGCAGTATAAATTATATGGACAGATATTAAGAAAATATTGGCATATTACAGGTAATTCGTTAAAAGAAGTAAGTTTTGTATCACTCTATAAAATATATATAAAAGACGAATATGAAACTATAACACCATTTAAGAAATAGTTTCTTGAAAATTGTTTTAGCGCTTTGACTAGTCTAACGATATGAACAGTGCCCTGCTCCCCTCCCTGCCAAATAGGTTCAAAGTATTCTGGGAAAAAGAGTTTCTTTTTCTGGAATCCATCCTGGCAGCAGGAATCCGTCCCCACCTTAGGCGGAGGAGTAGAAGTACCGGGGCTTGGCATTGCCCAGGAGGTCGTCTTCGTAGTTGGGGAGGCAGCAGAAGAAGAAGGAACAGCCAATCAGGATAATCGTGGCCGCCCACCCAAAGCCGTAGGCCCAGTTATAGATGTAATTGACAGCAGGGTTGAGATGAAGGGTGAAGGTCTGGGTGTACTTCACGGGGTAAATTACCAGGGAGATGATCTGGAACACAGCTAAAGGAAAGGAAAAAAAAATCCCAAAGTGTGAATGCATGCATGCACGAATGAATGAATGAATTGCAACAATAGATTAAATCCCTCTCTCAATGTTTTTGCCTTTAAATAAGTATTAAATCCACCTAAATAATGCTAATGGAAGGGGCTAGTGCCGTGGTCGGCAAACTGCGGCTCGCGAGCCACATGCGGCTCTTTGGCCCCTTGAGTGTGGCTCTTCCTAAGCCTTAGGAGTACCCTAATTAAGTTAATAACAATGTACCTACCTATATAGTTTAAGTTTAAAAAATTTGGCTCTCAAAAGAAATTTCAATCGTTGTACTGTTGATATTTGGCTCTGTTGACCAATGAGTTTGCCGACCACTGCCTTAGGCTCGCGAGCCCCATGCGGCTCTTTGGCCCCTTGAGTGTGGCTCTTCCTAAGCCTTAGGAGTACCCTAATTAAGTTAATAACAATGTACCTACCTATATAGTTTAAGTTTAGAAAATTTGGCTCTCAAAAGAAATTTCAATTGTTGTACTACTGTTGATTGACTCTGTTGACTAATGAGTTTGCCGACCACTGTAAGGTATCTAGTTAATCGTGAGCCAAAAAAGATTTTTAAATATTGTGTGTCTGAGAGAGCTGGCATTGAGCGGAATCCTGAATATAAGAAATACGGACAGGAGACAACTAGAGAATCACTCTACAGTCCAGGTGCAAGTATTATATAGTGAAGCAAAAAGCCAAAACTGTGGCATATAATAGAAAGCAGGATGGTAATGAAGAGTATTTTTATCACCTTTGTATTTCCTGTGCCAAAGACATAGTTAATATTTTCACTGTTAGCAAAAATAATGTATACATACACATACACACACGTGCATGCACATACACATCTATCACTCCATTCAAAATACACCATTGGAATAGTCCTTCAATAAATGAATGCCTAAATGAAGTGACGAACCAATGATGCAAATGATCAATGCAGAGAATCACCAGAAAAGGAAGTGAGGATCTAAAGAATAAATGAGAGATGGAGGGCGAAGAGCTTTTCAGGCTCAGGGAGCAGAAATGAAAGATGGACTTTGGTGAAGTGTAAGAAAGGAAATAAAGAAATGTGCCAATTTCTAATCTTTTTGGCATAAGAGTCACATTATTACAATCATTATTAATCATATTAACATTTTAAGCAACTCAAAAGTAAAAAGAACATAACCTTCTTTTATAGTGTTTTTCAGTGAATATGCATACTTCTATAAAGCTATAATGAGTATATCCATTCTGTGCTATGTTCTGCATTTTATTGACTTAATATTTCATATGTACATTGCCATGTCAAAGGGTATGAGCAGATTTTAGTTCTGCTTGAGTATTTAAAAAAACAATTTGAACTGCAAAAAGCCAAATAGAAGCAGAGGTGGGATTTGACAAGGTTCCTCATATCTTTTGTGATTCCAAGTAATTTCTGATTTTAAAATATTATTCCAAAAGCAAACTTTCAAGCATGAGGAACATTGGAGTAAACTTTATCTTTAATCAAGAGGAATTTTTAAATGTACAAGCGAGGGCAGAACTTGCATGGGCCAGTTCCCTGAGGCCACTCCCTGCCTCTCAGCCAGGGCCGTTTGTCCTGCCCTAGGCTCTGTGGGAACCCAGCACAAAGTGGTCTCCCTCTGGGCTCATGCTCGACCTCATGGACCCCTTTAGTCACAAGGCTTCTGACCTGTGTCCAAGGCCTTCTGCTCATTCTGTGTCTGTACTCCACGTCTGTAGCTGGATTTCTGCTTTGCTCCCAGGAGCCCAAGTTATCTTTGAGACATGACCTGTGGCCTCACTTTGCCATCATCAGCTCCTTCTCCTTTCCCCTCCTCAGGAAATCCAGTTTTGCATCTAAATCCATTCTGTGGCTGGGGTCCTGCCCCTTTGAGAGACTTCCCTAGGGCCAGGTGCCTTCCTAAATTTTCATATTATTCTTGCTCCCAGAGTCCTAGTTGTTATATTCCATGAATAAATGTTTACTCTGAGCCCCACCCACCTGCATAACTAAATTTCTGGTTCCCCAGCACCGGTGATGAGGCAATTACAGGGCTGGCCTCTTCCAGGTCCCCCATCCCACTACAGAAAACCCTTTCATGACCCTCCACATCATAAGACCACAAAACTCCTTCAATAAGTAAAATGGCTCAAGGACATAACCGCCCCCCAGCATGGGGCTCCCAGAAGTCTGGCACTGGGCCCACTGCGGAGACACTGCCCCTACAGAGCTGACTCAGCCCCATTCCCTCAGGGTAGGGGTGCCACTGGACATGGCATCACCTACAAGAGATGGTATACAGTAGGGGTGGGGAATGTCCAGCCTGAGGGCCTTTAAGGCCCGCAAAATCCTTTGGTCTGGCCCTGCCAAGGCATTAGGGGTGAGTTAATTAAATGTTTGACCAAATACAGCAGGCTAATTTTTAAGTTGATAGTTTTGTATGGCCCATGAATGATGTTATACATATCCAAATGGCCCTTGGCATAAAATAGGTTCCCCACCCCTGGTATACAGAATGACAACCTTCCTCATTTGGAAGGGGAGCAAAGAGTACCAGGTGAGACACAGGAGGAAATGGCTCTAGATCTTCTGTTTTTTGTTGTTCATCCTCACCCAAGGATACTTTTCCACTGATTTTTAGAGAGAGTGGAAAGGAGGGGGAGAGACGAGAGAGAGAGAGAGAAACATCAATGTTAAAGAGACACATCGATTGGTTGCCAACGGCTCTAGATCTTAAAACACATCTCTCCTCCGTGAATTCTGCCCTTGGTGACACTTTTTCTGAGAACAGGTCAGGAAGTGCAATTGTCAGGGATCTTCTTTGGGGACCGGGCACTCCTACACTGATGTCCAGGGAAGGTGGAATGAAGAGTTGCTGACACACAGACTTACCCGCCAGGGCCAGGAGGCCTCCGATCACTCTCAGGAAGACGAGCATTTGGGGTCCGCAGAGGGCAAAGAAGGAGAGGATGAAGCAGATGACCAGGATGATGAAGCCACAGAAGAGCGTGGCAGCGGCTGCCCTTCCCCATGCTGCGAGCGAAAGGAAACAGTGATCAATAAGACATATGATGTGCCAAATTCAACAACCACTTATCAAAGTATGGGTAGCATTGTTTTTTCTTTCTACTAATTACATTTGGATGGAAGAACAGTTTTTCTTTTGACAAGACTCAAGCATCTCCATGTCTCCGGGGGGGATTAGGCAATCCATATGTGGGACACTAATATACTGATACGCACTAATGCCTCATCCCCTCGGTTTTAGGACAAGTGTTTCTATCTCTGAGATGAAAGTTAAATTTCATTAAATTATTTCTTGTTTAATAAACTGGCCATATAAACTAGTAGATTTAAAAGGTTCACTCAAGTTCTAACACAACACGACCATAATAAACAGCATTTTGGGTATTGAACAATCCAAAGTACCATGTCTTTAGGAAATGTTCCCAACACCTCTAAAAGGATCTTTGTTTCATATCAATACTTGCTTCTGTGCAAAAATAATCTTTGAAAACATAAACTTATGAGTAGGCAGGGATGTGAACTAAAACAATTTAATTGTAAAGTAGCTGTGATTTAAAAAAAAAAAATAACACAGTTAAGCACAGTCTTTCTAGACTTTTGCCTAAATTTTAACTCTGGGGTTTTCAGAATTTATTGCACAAGAGTTCTTAACCATCGATGTTGGCCCTAAAATGAGCTCTGAGTTTGAAAATCTGCAGGGGCTCCTCCAGCCCTGTGTCCTGTGTCATGCTACCCTCCCCGCCTTTGGAAGTGGAGAGCCATGAGCCCAGGCTCGTGATTCCAGCCAGTATTCTTATTGTTCAACCTGCTCTGGTTTTTAAGATTTCTTCACACACAACCTTCTCTCTAGAGGTAATAACTAACACTTTGGAAGTAATTGCTCTGTGCCCGGCACTGGGTTAGGAACTAAACATATTTAGCTCACTGAATCCTCACAATAACTTTTTAGGGTTCATACTGATATAATTTCTTTAGAAATGAAGCTATATACGTACTAAGGCTTTGAGAGTTCAAATAGCCTGCTATAGCCACACAGCCAGTAAGTGATGTAGGCAGAGTTTGATTTAGAGCCTGTCTGAATCCAAAACATAATGTTTTTTAAGGCTATAATTTATATACCATAAAAGTCACCCTTTTCAAGTATACAATTCAGTAGTTTTTATATTCACAGGGTTGTGCAACCGTCACCACTTACAATTCCAACATTTTTATCACCCCAAAAAGAAATTCCATGTCCTTCTATTCCCCCTTCCTCCAGCTCTGGCAACCACTAATCTACTTTCTGTCTCTATAAATTTGCCTATTCTGGACATTTCAGATAAATGGAATCGTACACTATGCAGCTGTTTTGACTGCCTTCTCTCATTTAGCATAATGTATTCAAGGTGCATCTATGTTGTAGCACACATCAGTGCTTCATTCCTTTTTATAGCCAAAATATATTCTATTGCATCGATATCCCACAGGTTGGTTATCCATTCATTCATTAATGGAAGAACATGCATTCTTAACCAATTACTCTTTGTGGCATTTGAAAAGGAGAGTCGTGTGCTCCTCTGCCCTGGTATTACTCCAACTGCAGTACAGCTCAGCTGACAAATTCATCTTCACCTAATTCTAGGTCATTTGACTGGTCAAAGTTAAAGATATGGGTGGGCTAGCAGAAAGAGCAAGGGCTTTGGAGGCAGAACTGGGTCTCATTTATACACTGCCTCTGCCACCTATAAGCCACTGTCAATCTGCGCATCTGCTGCCCAAGGCTAAAAATACCTTCTTTCAAGATTACTGTAAGGATGAGAGCGTGTGTGTGAAAAGTCACATAGCTCAAAAAGTTCTTCCTGTATTTCTATGATGTTTCTCCAGGAACTCAAGTTTTCATTTTATTCTACATTCGCAAGGTTCCGCACTGTCACATAAAGGCTGTTCCTCAGTCCCCCACTGCATTTTCATATCTCCATCTGTTACAGACAAACTCGAGCTAAATTCCCCTGTTCCCTTGAGCAGCCTTAGTTCTTCCTTTTCTATGATGTTTCTCCAGGAACTCAAGTTTTCATTTTATTCTACATTCGCAAGGTTCCGCACTGTCACATAAAGGCTGCTGCTCAGTCCCCCACTGCATTTTCATATCTCCATCTGTTACAGACAAACTCGAGCTAAATTCCCCTGTTCCCTTGAGCAGCCT